GCGCGATGCGGACGTGAGCAGCTTGCCCCATGTACCTCGCATTTCGTGTTGTTTGGCAGCACCTTTCATGGGATCCGTCCAAAAAAAAAGAGTGGCTTTTGTTTTCGACCAGGACAGAACTTGCTGGTTCGATAGGCAGGGAATGAGATAAAGCATCCCCAATTTTGTTTCCTTTAAGGGAATCCCCTTCAGGTTCATTTCCAATGTCAGTCCCTACTGAGCACCAGAAATCAAAACTTGCATGCTGGTGTCCTTTTCGAACAACCTACCCAAACATGCCCCAAATCTCTTTTGGCTCCAAAAGCCTTCCAACGAGAGCTCTCACAGCGGCCCCCCATTTCCCAGTGGCAAATCAGGGTCCCCGATGTGATCTACAGCCAATATTGACACGCTTGAAACACGTAAAAGGACAGCAAGGAGTCAAGGGGGCCATATCTTCGGCACCCGTCCAATGGCGCTCCGTGTTGCGCGCAGCACAAGGGCTACACCCGACATGCGATGATGGCATTGAATAAACCAATTTCGGTGGCAGAACCAGTAATGTTGACCCCGGAATAATCAACCCCTGTTTATTAATATGGGGGTGTTCCCTCCAAAAGTGATAAATCCCCACTAAAACAGGGGACAGCCCCATATTAGTAAACAGGGGTTCATTAATCCGGGGTCAACATCAAACTGCCCCACCGCCGCGCTTTTTTACGCCCACGCTGCTGCACAAGCCCTGCTCGGTGGCACGCGGCCAAGTGGAGCGGCGTGTCGCTGCGCTCATCCGTGTGCGTCTGAGCCTGTCTCGCCCCAGCGAGACCGAAATAGGGGGACACCCAAAATGGCGCGGGTCTGCTTCGGCTTCCCAGTACGATCCCAAAATTTTACAAAAGGAGTGCCCTCAAAAAAAAAAACATTTCAAGATGTTGGGTGTGTCTGTTTTTAGGACCCCCCCCAAAAAAAAAAAATGGTGGGGGGTCCCTTTGGTTTCTCTTTCAACCAACCTCGACAAGGGTACCCACAAAAAAAGACAGACCCATTTGGAGGAGCGCAACTCCAATCGGGTCACAGCAGCCAACCAGTCGGCCGGACGAGCCAAACAAACACAACAACAACCCAACCCGACCTGAACCCAACCAAATCAAATGCAACCCAACCCAACCAAATCCCAACCCAACCAAATCCCAACCCAACCAAATCCCAACCCAACCAAATCCCAAGAGCCAACTCAACCCAACCCAGCCCAACCCCAACCCAACCAAAGCCAAGCCACCAACCCACCAGGCCAATCGCTTCACCAGCGCTCCTTCTGGTCCACAAGGAGCTGCGCCACACTTAGGCTGCCTGTCGCGGGCAGGTCCCCCCATCCTTGCGGGTTTAGAGGAGGGGGGATGGAATCCCATCAAAGAATTGAGAATATATTTAGCTATGAGGGATTGCTCACCCTGAATCGATTAGCTGGCACCCATGATGTATTCGCTGGCGGTGCCCTTAGCTTCGTGGAAGTTTAAAAATGTTCAACGCCTAGCAGAAATCAGGCCATCTGGCGACGGCATGTGTTTGCGACACATTCTGTTTAACAGGCTTAGCTGCATGGTTGCAATTGACTAGCGCCTAAAAGACCAAGCACGGCATCTTTGCCCCTTCTGTTCTGAAAATGTGAGTGTTGGGCACCCATTCACTGTCCAAATCACGGACAAAAGTGGCAGGTACATGCCACTTGAAAAGTGCTCTCGTCCAGGGTTGTTCCCTTTGAAATTTGGTGCTGTCGAAACAAGGTAATACCCCGTGTGGCGATGAAAGCAAACCATTTGCCAACCCCAACACGCCAATCCTTGGCCAACATGGAGCCAAACCCCAAAACCCCAAAACCCCAAAACCCCAAAACCCCAAAACCCCAAAACCCCAAAACCCCAAAACCCCAAGACCCCAAAACCCCAAAACCCCAAAACCCCAAAACCCCAAAACCCCAACCCCAAACCACCCCGAAACCCAGCCCCGAATCGAGAAAGAAGTAAAAACTTTGACTGCCTTCGTGGGCGGCGATATGCAGCGCAGTGTGCTGGGCCACTTTGTCCTCGCAACGAGAGGTTCCATTGGCGCAATGAGATGTCGATGCTTGTTTCACACCCTTTCTGGGCAAACTGCCATAATCCACGAATTGGAAATCAGGGAAGCCTTCGAGGACCTTCATCATGAGTGGAGTCCTGCGGTTTATCAAACCAGAATGCGGCAATGATGGAACTTTCCTTCCCTGCTGTGAGTGTTCCTTGTAGCGGGGCCCGTGTTTGTTGGACACCCAACTTGCCCAACTTTATCGTTGTATCCAGCAGGTTCAGCGGCCCGCCCGCTCTGGAACCGTCGTCCCCCCCGCAGATTCAGCCTTGCTATTGAGGATGGCCTTGCTTTTGCTCAGCGCACCCTGGCCAGGAGAGAGCGACTCGCAGTCCGATTGCTGCATCGGCAGAATTCCAGAGGGGCCCGGGGCAGCCGTGGTGACAGTGTGGCCGTGTTCCTCCGCAACCGTATTCCTTTGCAGGTTAAAGTCTGCCCAATGTAACATGTACAGGTCAGCTTGCCATACACAAAGCGCTTGTTCCTGACCCTTCGATAGGCGGCCTCTCGAGTAAGTCAAACAAACAAATATACAAACCAAACCCAGTTCAAACCAAAACGAGCCGAACCAAACCAAACCAACCAACCAGCGAATAAACAAACAAACAAACAAACAAACAAACAAACAAACAAGCAAGCAAGCAAGCAAACAGACCGAACCCAGTCCAAGCCACAACGAGCCAAGCCAAACCAAACCAAGCCAAGCCAAGCCAGACCAAGCCAAACCAGAGCCAACCAACCAACAAACGATCAAACAAACAAACGATCAAACAAACAAACGATCAAACAAACAAACAAACAAACAAACAAAAACAAAAGCAAAAAAAAAAATGGCAAACACGCCAACCCACCCACCCACCCACCCACCCACCCACCAACCAACCAACCAAGCAAGCAAGCAAGCAACCAACCAACCAACCAACCAAACAAACAAACAAACAAACAAAACAAAGCAAACCAAAACAAAACGAAAGGAAACGAAACAAAACAAACACACCAAACCAGGCAACTAACAAATCAACCCACCCACCCACCCAACCAACCAACCAACCAAGCAAAGAAATGTCTTGTGGCGTGGCTCCGGCCTCGCTCACAGCCCATTACGAGCCCCGCCTTCGCCGCAAGGACCTCATCCTTGCGCGCGGCGTTGTGGAGGTGCCTGCCGGTTCAGGGCGAGGGATCTTTGGAATGGTGAAATTTGACTGTAGTGGACATGAGTGTGAATTTTCATCTGGCCAAAGGGACCCTTTGGTGGACATAAAAATTCGGGAAACTCGTGTCTGCCGACCACTCCCTATCAAAGTTCAGAGCCGACATGGGAAGCCGGGCGTGTCATTTTATGTGCCTCCCAAATGGACCATACACAGAGCCGTGTTGGAGGAAAGGTAAGACATATGAGTACCAGCGGACACTACGTCTTTTCGCGGAATGATCTTTAGATCCACCGATCCAGTTTTCGCATGCATGGCTGCTGACCGTACTGGCCTGCCCGGTGGTTTGGATGAAGAGCACCTGCCCCTTGTGTCACAAGGTGGGGTTCAAGTCCCCAAAGCGCCAATCGAATGAACCAGCAACCAAGGGCTACCTGATTCTGAAAGTGTTCCTCAAGTGGTAGAGGGAACCACCCCAGAGGCAGAGACAACGACCCTCGAATCCAGGCCAAGAAGGCTGTGATGAGCACAACACGGCCCCGGCCTCTCATGATGGACAGGCGTGCCACAAGCGCTGCCCATGACAATCAGGCAACTTTGGCCTGAAGAAGTAATCGGACTGCTTATTCGGGGTCCTTTGAATGTCCCCCTTGGAAATTCAAGAAGAAGCTAAGCTCTAATTGATAGCCCAAAGGTTGATCTTTGAATCACGTGCAAAAAACTGTAAGTGGAAAGCTGCAGGCCGACGACCCTCAAAGACTCTCTTGTCTTCAACCTATGCCAAACTGCGAGATGTGCTTCTTCCTGCCTGCCTAGGCCAAATCAGTTGGTTGTGTCAGGCAATCAGCGCCTGACTTTGAATCCACCTTCGCCTGATCCAATGGCCTGATCCTATGGCGGGCGGCGCTGAGAAGAGTCAACGGCCATCACTCGGAAGGCCTGGCAAAATAATGTTCGCCCCATGTTAGTCAACCCCTGTTTATTAATATGGGGGTGTTATCAAGATCGCGCAAACCCAAAGGCGATGAACCCTGCAAAGCTTCAGTGGCAATGCCCCTGGCCTTACCCGACGGAATGGCATAAAGTCCTCTTTCCCCGGCTTGCCGGCACGACAAGCACCGGCTTAAGCAGCTCAAGTCGACTTGCTAGGCGCAGGTACCTCAAGATGCGCATTTGGAAGCCCCACCGGAGCGATCCTACCTGAGCAACAACTTGCACTGGGAGTCCATCTTCAACACAATCCTTGCGTTGGCATGGTTGGCGATAGGCCAAACAAGAAGGGAACCTGAATCCCCATGTCTGGCAGAAAACAACGAAGGGAAAGAAATGGCTGGAGTCACTTTCAGGCGAATCGCCCACTTATGGTCCAACTGGTTGCTCACCTTGCCTGAAAGAGCGGACTGCGCAAACCCCGAAGAAAGGCAGGCCAAGATAAGGGAGGAAGAGAGAAACAACAAAACACGAGAGGGACAGAATGTGAGAGAGAGAGAGAGAAAACCACAAACGCAGAGAGGTGTCGCGCATCACGTTTTGCGCGGGGGGAGCCCAGCTCCCTTGAGCCAGACAGCCCATCGCGACAGAGTCCCGGCCCGCTCGCTGGTAAAAATAGCGAGCAACATCTGTGCGGGGACGGCTCTGGCTGCAGAATCTGAAGCCCTACAAGGGTCCAAAATGAATAGAATGGGCTTGTTGGGCACTTTACTGCTAGAGAATATGGCATGACTAAAGGAGCTAGCTGTGAGTACAAATTGCGCCCCTTGTTTCTGGAAGGCCGATGCCGCATCAGATGCCGCTGGGATAAAGCAATGAACCACTACAGGCGGCGCCGCCAACACGGACACTGCCTCACAGCCCGCTCAGAAACCTTGCCTTGGAGGTTGCAAAGGCAACGTCCCCAGCCACGTTCTTGCCGCACTGCTGCTCGAAGACGAACTGGATGCTTGGGTTCGTCTGCACCCGCACAGGGGGCTCTGCAGCCTGGGGCGCAATCCGTACACACAACTTTGCAACGTAATTACGCACGTGTTCAAACAAACCTGCCCGAGCACCCGTTGAAACAACCTCCTCTTGGTTCTTAATCAAAGGCCGGCTAAGTTCCATCTTCCCCCCCGCCCCCAGCTTGAAGCTTTGGGGTCCATAGGCCCAAATGGCCTAACTGGGCGGGAGGGAATCCGGAAAGGCGCAGTTGGGGGTAGGTTGCAGAGATGTCTGGGGCAACCAATTCTTGATGCCGCAACACCAGCCCAAGTTTTGTCCAACCGATTTCTTCCACCAACTCTTGCAGCCAATTTGGAGAGTACGCCAATTTCCCACACATTCCACGCCTCCACGATCTGCTGGATGATGACGTCCGCCACCTCCTCCGGGGTTTGCCCCGAGCTGGCGGAGGTGCCTCAGGGCCGTCGTGCAGGGATTCATGTCCAGCAACCACTTTTCAGGTTGCAACTCGTGAAAAATTCATGTCCAAAGATGCCCCCAAAAAGGGCAGGATCCATTCCTGGGTTGCCGTGAACTGGGTTCCCTCATTGCTGTTGCACCCCCTTTTGTGACTCTGTAGGGGAAGAATAACAATAACATGAGGTTCAAAATTGCCATGTTCTTGTAAGCTATCATGCATGCCACGGAATGAAAATCGCGACGGGACCGGACATGGGAAATTTGGGGCGCGTCCGCCTTGTGTGGGAAAAGAGAGACAGGTTCCTTCTGACTGCCCTCACGGCCAAGTAGGGTCACAGCTCCGGCCCCTGGGCGACGTGTCGGGCTGACGCTCAGCCCCCTAGCTTTTGCCCAAGACGCGGTAAGCCTCCAGCGTGGACTGCAGAGGCTGCGCGTATTCCGCGGGAAGCCTTGGCTGACACTCCGGCGAGGCGGTCGATCCTGCGAGCGGACGAGTGCCCTGTCAAAAGGGTAAAAGAAGTCATACGCAGGTGCAAGAACTAATCATGTCGCTAGCTACCAAATCCGCATGGATGTACCTATCCATTTCTGATTGTTGGTCTTGCTAGACTTGTAGCTTTGTCTGAGCATGAGAAAATAGGGGCCCCAAAAAGACTGGTGGCTTTCCTTTAGTTGCCTTCTACAAGGACCTCTTGTCACTTACGCGAGGGACCGTGTTCAACCCCGCAGGTTCGCCTATACCCTTGTTGGAACCGCTGTTGTGTTCCAAACCTTTTTTAGGGCTTCCCTTTCAGGGGGACAAGGGGACCAGGGACTCGCTGCTCAAACACATCTGGCTCCCTGACAAACAGAGACCCCAAAGATACCGGAGATCTAGGCGAACTATAACTCCCGAACCGGATATAAGGAAACTTCTACTAAAGCTCAATTGACTTCGCTCGTTCTCCCCCAGCATCAAAAAACTCGTCATGAGTTGACCGGAGAACTACGACTAGGTCCTGGGAGGAACAACCTGTTGGGGGACGCGCTTTTTGGGCTCCATTTCGATTTGCCGGGGATTCTGCCCCCCCCCCCCCCCCGCCCCCACCGCCAGCTCTCTGCAAGGTCGCTTGGAGGGGTCCGGCCGCTGAGCGTTTTGGAAGAAGGAGGACTTGATGGCACCCGGCTGGACGCCTCAGCGAGTTTGTCCAATCACCAAGGAGACTGGCAAAGCTTCGCGCCAACATTCAATTGATTGAAGCCTGCGTGTTCTACTATGGTAGCAGAGGTGTTAACCATGTGCCCAAAAGGGGAAGGACCACCACCTCTGCCGCAAAGTGAATTTGAAGCCTTCGTTTTAAAACTGCTAACGTCTTCAAGTTCTTCTGGTGGAAGAAACCGCCTCATGATAACGGTCCGATGCTGCAGAAGGTGTAAGATAAGGAGCATTCCATCACCGCCGCCACCACCACCACCACCACTACCACCGCCACCGCCACCGCCACCGGCACGACCACTGCAGCTTTTATTGACACTTGGCTGCCACCGAAGCCTTCACTCAGATTAAGTTGACATGGAACTCCACAGACGCGAGGAATCTCTCCGAAATCGAGGCTTCTCGTCTTGGGTAGCCCATGCCTTTTTTTTGTCCAGCAAGTCTCAAGCCAAGGGGCAAGATACGTACACCCCAAAGGTGCGGAAGACCGGCGCCTGCGAAAGAGCTGAGCCAACCCATGGGGTGATCAACTTCCAGTCGGCCCAGCATGAAACACATGTCAACTTGGGTGGCAGGGGGGAAGAAGAGAAAAGAATCAGAAAGAAAACAAAAACAAAAACAAAAAAGAGCCACCCACATGCACCCGAGGAACAAAAGGGCTGCACAAGGCAGTGGTTCTTATGAAAAACTGAGGTTCTCCCCTCCTGGCTCTCGATCATGCCCTCCAGCGCGAACTTCGAGGCGCAGTAGATGTCGTTGAAGGGCTGGCCTTTGGCAACTGGGTTTTACCCCATGGCTTGTACTGGAATAACTGAGGATGCCTGACTTGCCATGTTTCTAACCCCCACACTTGGGCGTGGGTTGTTTTGAGGGCGCCCTTTACTTTTGGGACCCATTTTGACGCACGCCCAAACCAATCGGACGATGGAAATCATCCAAGCACATGTCTGCCCATCCGAATCTCACACTGAGTTTTGATTCATCAAACCCGCTATCAACAAACCAATGTAAAGAATCGAAAGGGCGGCCGCATCCATTTCTGGTTGGGACTCAAATAGGCCCTCTGAACGTTACCGAGAGGATGGCCATCTGGATCGCAACGTCCAAACTCAAGGCTGGCCATGCTGCAGGTTCCTTTGCGCTTGGGAACTCGCTGTCTACATAGAACTCACTAGTGGCAACTTAGGTGTGTCCCATTTCACCAAAGGATTCCATTGTTTTTAACCCGAGGTAGACTTCAACTAAAACCCTGGGACTATCAAACAAATGAAACCCTGACTTCATTCCCCTACCAGCAAACGACAGCGCTGAAAGCCTAGTTGCTGCAGATTCACCTAGTCATAAGCTCTCCCCATATAGCCTAATTTCGGTCAACTGTGTGTTGGTGTGACCAAAACATTGTGGGGCGGGCCCAACACCCACCAGCATCCGCCTAACTTGTGGTTTGGATTGGTGGTTTGGTGGCTAAGCATGGTTTGAAGGTTCGGTCGAAACGTCCACAACGTCAACCACATTGGCCCCTGGTTCTTGAAACAAACTTTGTCACTTCCCTTAAAAAACAAAAAGGTGGCCGTCCATCTACTTCAAGTAAATTGGTCCCAGCTTCTTCCATCTACCATCTGCCATTCAACCAAATGCCACTTTCCATGGGTTGACTTTGATCGGGGGGGTGTCCCTTGGTGGGAAGCGGGAGCACTTTAGCGGCCCCCCTCTGGTAGGATGGACGTGTCCCGTCAATAAATGCGCCGGAGGTGCCATAGACCCCGCCCACGGAGGAGATGTTGATGATCTTCCCCGACTTCTGCGCCCGCATGAACGGCAGGCACGCCTGGCAGTGAGCTCGCTCTTGCCTCGCTTGCCATGCGACTTGACGTTCCCTTAAAGGGGAAAATCGCCGAAGGGTCCAGAACAGAAACGCATCCCCGTTTCTTGATCCCTCTCTTCCGCTTTCCCCACTTAAGCAGGGGCACAGGATCCAAGAGAAACGCCGACCGAAAAACTGGCGACATCCCCATCCATCGGTTGGATCCGCCTTCTGGCACCGGATCACGCCGAAGAGGTTGGTCTCCATCTGCGCCTCGCCCGCGCGCTCGCGACGGGCCCCGACCCAGGCCCCTGGAGGTCGAAGGGTCGACAGCTCCCTCGGAGCAGCCGGATCCCAGGCCGAGCCAAGTCGTGTTCGTCAGGGTAAACCTTGGTGTTCATGGAATCGGCGTTTGTTTTTTTTTTGCAAACGGAAGGGGCGATGGTCGCAAGACCAGCTGTGGTTGAACCCTTCAAACCACGAGCGCTTTTGTGCTAAGCTCTGTACATTCTTGCTGAGGACAAGTACCCTAATTAAGACTGTAATCGTTCAACCCAGAAGACAGCGCGCCAAAGGCGCACGAGTTGCGCATCGCCGCCAATGCAACAAACGGACTGCCATCGACTTCGACTCTGAGTCTAGCTGCCCCCGCCATTCTGAAAAGCCACAAGCCACATGTTCTCTTCATTTCTGGATGAAAGGAGCGTGCTGCAAGTCTGGACCGACCGGTCACGTCGGTCAATCCCAATTCAAAGCTCCGATTTCGGATGTGCAGGTGATCACGGTATGGAAAGTTTGACAGAACCCCATACACTTCGTCCAAGTCGTGGCTTCAAACTACATACCTCAGAGCCTCAAAGCCATCTTCCTTCTGCAACGGCTGTCGAGAGTGGTTCGAAAGGCCAAGGTGTTAAAAGGCCTTTAAAGTTACTTTAAAGTAGCCAGTATGGACCTCTGAACTCCTGATGGTGTAACAAACACCTCACCCAACCCCAAGGAAAATGCTTAGGCCCAAAAGCAAAAAGTCTGCGAAAACCCGAGCCCCCCCCCCCCCACCCACCCACCCACCCACCCCAAAGCTGCAAAACCCCGCGAGCCCTCTCCACCCGAGCCCTCGGCCTTCATCGCCTCCATGGAGATGAACTCCACACTGCCGGCCTGGGAGTAGCCCGCGTTGTTCACCAGCACGTCCACGCGCCCCGCCTCCTGAAGCACCCGTTGGCCCCGTTTAGGGAAACCAAGACCAAAACCTGCGTAACCCTAGCTCTGCATTGAGCCACACCCAGATTTGGCCAACCGGGGTGGGTTCGGATGGGGGGGGGGCGGCTGTTTCTTCCAAGGGGAGAGAGGATT